TTATAATGTTATAAAACTTCAACTTTAACTTGATTTACTTTGAAGATTTTCGAAATTTCACTATTGTTTTCCTTTTATATGACTTCTTTTTGCCGAACACCTATTAGGCTATATATATTAGAGTTGAAAATTAAAATTATGTAAGAGGAAAGATAAAGGTGAAATTTATAAAAATCTTAGAAGTAAATCAAGTTAGAAGTTGAATTATAAAAACATTGAACAATTACAATGTACACATATGATACAAAACAACATAGTATGGTGAGTTTTGGTACCTAAACCTATATACCCTTAAGGGTATATTCACTTTTCCAATATATATATATATATATATATATATATATATATATATATATATTAACCAAGATTTTTTTTTTTTTTTTTTTTTCTGATTTACCTAAAATAATCGGTCATAAAAACTGAATATATATAGCTTAACAAATTAAGATAATAAATATAAACGAAAATAACAAATCAATGATATACAAATCAAAAAAATATATACCCTTTGAAATTATTATCTCTTTTAGTTAAAATGAATCAGCAGAAATAGCACATCAATCATGAACATGGCTCCCAATCGGTTGGGCCATATCATGTAAATGTTTCAGGTTTGAGACCAAACACAAATCAAAATGGGCTATTATAATTTTACTAACAAAGATCAATGACTATAAAAGAAAACAAATTCGACTTATTGCAGGTCCAGAACCCTTCGCGTAAAAAGATTATGACCACTAAACCAGAAATCATCAACAAAACAGTTGAGGAGAAAAAGACTTTCAACAAAAATACCTAATTTACAATAATGATAGAAGACAGAATTTCTTGTTCATCATCGAAGATTGATTTCAACAGAGACTAAAGATTGGATACATGGAAATCAAACAACAGATTCAATTTTCAACATTTGGTTTTTGAAAGAAAAAAAAAAACGTAAATCAAAATATACCCTAATCCATTCCAGATTTCATCTGGAATGAACCTAAATATCAACAAAGACATGGGACAGATGGTTAACTGTTGCAGACATGAACCCAAACATATATTATAACAAAAGTAGCACATTTCAACATATTAAGAAGTTGCTGCAATGAAGCCAAGTTGCCATCAAAATTCTTAGTCTCAACAATTCTCAAACACCAAAATTTAATATCACTACAACACAAAACAAAAGCAAGTTCATAATAGAAGAAGAAAGCATTGTAAACCATAACTTATCAACGATAACGACGAAGAGACAAGGTGTTGTTCCTCTTCCAAGTAGCCCTTCTTGAAGGTCGTGCCTTGTGGTTCAAGTGTCCCTTTCCACGAAGTCCTCTGTACTTCTTTCCAGCAGATGTCAATCCCCTTAGCTCTCTGTGTTTGTGCACTGGGTTGCAGATCCAGTTGATCCTTGGATCATTGCGGATAGCAGCATGAGCAGGATCCACCAAGATCACCTCAAAGTACTTGTAAGTCGAATCCTGCATTCATGATTTAAGACTTGTAATCAGTGCCCACAAATCGTAGAATCACACTTCACCCCATGAATATATAGATAAGATGCATACCTCATTCAGCCAGTAGGAGTTGAGAACCTTGAGACCACCCAACTTCCTTCCTGCTCGTTCTTCAGCAACGGATCGCTTGCTTCGTTGAAACTTCAGTTGAGTCACTCCCTGGTTTGTAGGCTTTCCGTACACGATACCTTTAGGAACTGGCCTCTTCCTTCCACCACGCCTCACACGTACTCGATAGATCACATAACCCTAGTGAAGCACAAGGGTAACATAAAATGATTAACTAATCTAGCTAACAAAAAGCGGAAAATTAGAAAACGATTAGATGATTGACGTGATAGAACGATGAAAAGCGTACCTGTTTGGCTTTGTAACCCATACGGCGAGCCTTGTCTGGACGAGTAGGGTGAGTAACCCTAACAATGGAGGGAAGCTGACGGTATTCCCAGCACCGCACCCTCTGCATAAATCGCATCACATCCGACTGTTTCTTCCTCCATAGCTCCGATACGTAGGTGTAAGCACCTGTTATAGCAACAGATATCATACGCCATTTCAATTATTCAAAACGCCAATTATCCAATTCAACAAGTTACGATGAAAACTAAACAGATGATTACGAGAAAATAAACGATATTACACCATGATTATGTGAAATTATAGAAGGGGTCGGCATTTACCCATTGCTACACTCGCTTCCGGCTTCGATCTGCAGAGAGATGGCTGCTACTTCGGTGTAACAATACGAAGCAAGGTCTGGATTAGGGTTTTTGAGAGCGATTTTATCTAAAGTTGAAGAAACCGCAATGCCCTAGCCTCTGGGCTGCAGTAACATCGGCCCAATGTTAGAATGGATTGGGCTTAGTCGGACTTAGATTAGCCCATAATGAGGTTTTACAGGCATTTGTTTTTAATTTTTGGATTAATTTATATGATCCGTCTAATGCAATTTTTTTTTTAGTTAGTTAGTCATTGGACCGTTTAACAACATATTTTTGTTGTTTTTATTTTGTTTTATATTTTTAATGTATTGCTTAACTTTTTATTGTTAAAATAAAATAGAGAACCTTACCCCTCCCCTACCCCATATAACCCTAACTCATTTCTTTCACCCAAACACCCACATCAACTTTACACACCACTCAAATAACCAGCAATCTCTGTATCAAAAAAAAAACAAATGTTTTTATAAAGAAATTAACGAAATGAAAGTTCTAAATTCACGTTGAAACGTTGACAATATTGAATTTATACCGACACATATATAAAAATAAGTATGTAAAATAGTTTTTTTAGGTTAACGAACAAAAGTTATCAAAGAAATCAAATTATATGAACTACAAGGGGTAAACACGAAAGATTAGAAAATAAATGAGTGAAAATAACATTTTATAAAGTTCAAAATGAAGGATCAAAGTGACATTTTAAAAATAAAGGGGTGGAAAAGCAAAAACTTATAAACATAAAAATATTGACAAAATTACATAAATGGTCATTATGGTTTACTCATGATCACAAATTCAGTATATGCAACCTGAAAAGACCAAATTACTCTTATATAATTGATCAAAACTAACGGTGTCAACAAAAAAAGACAGTTAATGTAAGTTTTGGAAACCACGGGGACCATTTTCGTAAAAAAAAATAATAAAGACAAAAGTTATGACCTTTGGTAAACTATAAGAACTATTTATTTAATTTAGTATAGTTATAAGGATGAAAAAAACATGATATTACAATGAGGCTTGATATTTAACATATGTTTATTAAGCAACACCAAAATAAAACCTTATAACCTAGCAGTATAACCAAATCACTTATAGTTTAATGATATTTGTCTATCTTCCGTTAGGTTGAAGGTTCAAGTTTCGTTATGACCATAGGTGGAGTTAAGAGTAGAATAACTTTGTCATTCTAAAAAATATATTATATTTATATAGATATTGGTTATAAAAATCAAGCTTTTGCATATTATTTCATTATAAATTAAACAATACATGGATGTTCGTTGAAATTGAATAGTAATCTCTTCTAAAAACTTGATATTGTGGACTAATATTTTGGTGATAACAAATTTTATTGTATTAAATTAAAATATTTGTCCTTATTATGTTTATTTGGTATTTTTTTATATTCTTTAGGTATTTTATTTTCCATTTTCCTTCAACCCGTACTTGTGCTCGTCCTTTATATATGTCATAACGTCGAAAACATACCAAACCACCCTTTTTGTTCCTTTTCTCCATGTTGTCATATCCACCCTTCTTTTTGAACCAACAAATACATCCCATATTTATAATGTAAATATCTAAAATCGAAAACATACCAAACCACCCTTTTTGTTCCTTTTCTCCATGTTGTCATATCCACCCTTCTTTTTGAACCAACAAATACATCCCATATTTATAATGTAAATATCTAAAACTTATTGTATTGGACATGGAGCGGATTGATAAATAAAGTATTTGCACTCAAAACATAATAACAATCAGGTAAAAAATATATTGATTATTGTGATTTTTGTGGGTTTTACGTCTCGATTTTAGATTATCGTGGGTTTAGTTTTGTATAGTCAAGAAGCCCCCGTTTTTAAGGAGTATAATGGGCAGACATGGCAGAACACATGTTGGTTTCGTTGATGGTTTTGTGTATGAGTGACAATAATATGTGTGAGAGAGAAAGAACGAGAGAAAGAGATACTAAGAAAGGGGAAAAAGGGTAAGAGGCGATTTCTCTAATTATGTGTGCGAATGTATAAGCTTCGTGTGTGTTTAATGGGAAAAACAAAAGATGGATTTTTCATTGGTGTGTTAATGTGTGTGAAACAATAAAGGATGATAAGAAGAAGATGACAATGGGAAGTGATTGAATGAGGTCATTGTTATTTGTAAGAGAACCCTAAAATATGTGAGAATGCAGCAACAAAACTTGGAGATGAAGATGAGAGAGAGAGAGAGAGAGAGAGAGAGTTGGCTCTGCCAATGTGTGTCTATTAATTATAAAGGAAAAATTAGTATTTTCAGTTTGAAAAATGGACCAAACACCATAACAAACCTATTAAAAATACAACAAAATTGTAATTTAAAAGAGAAATTAGACATATTTCTATTTTTTCTTCGTACCCATACTCTTATTATTTTTAGATGATGATAAATATAATAAAATTCTATTAATTTTATTAAACATGACAAATGTCATAATCTTAAATGTATAATAAGATTATAGAAATAAAAAAAATATAAATATATAATATTTGATTGCTCAAATTAAAACCCTATCCATATAAATATCAAACCATAATAATCATTTTTGCAATTTGTTAAAAATTAATATATATATATATATATATATATATATATATATATATATATATATATATATATATATTAAAGATGTGAAAAATTGTAACAGTTCTTGCTCTTCATTGGTTGATTTTTTATGTTTTTTTATTCTTTTCTTCCTTGCTGGCACGTTACTAGATGGATTAGTGTGCGTCACATGTTACTCCTCAAACAATCCACCGCCATAAGCAACCCCACCAACTTTCTCCACCGCCTTATCTCCCTGTCAACGGTGCCATTTATCTCCCCTACGCAACACCCATTATGATTCGGTGCCAACATTCAAATCACATTTGGAATCGGAATCGAAAAGGAAACCCGTCACAGCCTCCGCTCCTTTCTTCTTCTACCCTTTGCTCCCTCCACCGCCAACCACTTCCTGATCCTTTTTATTCGGGAACAGTTCGTCGCCACCGCCATCCTATCCGGTCTGGCAGGGTTACCTCCTCGGTTTGATCGTGTTGCCGTTTCCACCAACTTCGATTACCCTTCTGTCTTCAGTCTTCGTCTCCATTGCAACCGTAAACAACGGTTTCGCTTACGGCTTAGGCTCCATCTCTCAAAACATAGGTCCCAACTCCAAGTTCGATCTTTGATGTCGAGGATGAATAGAGTGACAGAAAAACCTAATTTCGGAACAGATTGCATACAGTTCTAAGTTCTAACCCTTGATTTTCGTTTTGTGATTTGTTTCAGAAACTTGCGATACATGGAGCTTAGGGGGTTTATATCTCCTAGAATTGGTAAACTCACTAGACTACAAACACCGTAAGTGTATTTTTGGAGCTGTAATCTTAACTTATTTAAGTTAATTTGTGTTTGATTTATGCATTTTTTGTTATTATCAATAGTAAACCATACCCCTCCTATTTCACTCTTTTGCTTCCTTCGATCAATGGAAAGCAGGTCGTAGGGAAGGTACCTTCTGGCCACCACCATAGATTTCTATTTACAGTTTTAGTTGGCATATCAGCGGTCTGCAAGAATTTTGCTAATTGATTACTTACTTTTGTTGACTAGCTTGTAGAAAGACCGAACAGAAAGACTAAAAACTTGCTCACCATAAGAAAAGGGATCTATCAATAGATCCTCTTTATTAAGGTATATACTAGAAAATTAGTAACTTTAACGTCCATTTTCTTGAAGATTCCTGGAAGTGTATGCAAATTATTGTATGTTTAATATGCAGATTGTACAAATGTACAATGACAGCAGCACTACGCAAACCAGTACAGGAAAAACTAAGCTCTTATTCTTTGTTGCCTTTCTATGGTATTCAATATTGCTTGCATCTTAATATTATTTTTTAATTGTTCATATTATGAATTATATCACACACATGGCTGGTTGTTGTTGTACACGGGTAACCATTGGTTTAGATTCAAAGTAGGGATTTCAATTCATATGGTGGTCAATCGATTCCAGTTAGGGGAATTTGGCAAAGGGTAAAATTCGAAAACCACCACACTATAAGTTTTTTATAGCATAATTGTCTTCATATTCTTAAAAGTAAGAAGTTATTTTCTTCTAAAGCCATCACATTCTTACAGTTATGGTAACCGGACGCTAATGATCCATACTTATATATCATTACAGGTAAAGCTTATTGGTAAGTTCTGCTTTTAGTATCTTACACATATGAGTTTGTATGCTTCAATTATCTTTTTTTAATGTTTGTATATGGAAAAGGGTATGATTATGAAAGTGAATGATTTTTGATGGATTCATTAGGTTATAGCAAATGATGTGGATGTACAACGATGCAAACTTCTTATTCACCAAACAAAGAGAATGTGCACTTCTAACTTGGCTGTGACGAATCACGAAGCACAATATTTCCCGAGTTGTCGCTGGAAAAAGAATAATACCACAAATGGTTCTGATTTGGGGGGTATGAGTATGACTGAACTTTTATTTGATCGTGTGCTCTGTGATGTTCCATGCAGTGGAGATGGTACTCTCCGTAAGGCCCCTGATATTTGGAAAAAATGGTAAATTCCTTTTCTACCCCTATGTTACTTGGGGCATTAAGTCGTTCCTGTAGAGTGGCTGAATGGGTAATTATATCGATCTGGATAAAATGTTACCAACAAGACTAAATGCCCATTTTACCCTTGCTTTCCAATAAATCTTTTTAACAATGTTCATTAAGTTTGAAGGGGAAATAGGTCATTATTATGTCCAACAGATTAAATAGATCTGTTGAGATTAAGCCAATTGTGTCTGAGATTAAGACTGCATTTATTGCATTGGACTAAAACAGTCTGATGTGATTGTGAGTTGTGACAAATTTAATGAAAGGATATCTGATTGCCTTGTATTTCTTTGTGAAATGCAGGAGTATGGGGATGGCCAATGGTGTCCATTGTCTGCAACTTCAGATAGCCATGCGAGGTTTGTTAAAGTTATTAATATCAATATGCATTTCTTTCATCAAATGTTAGAATCTTTATCATATATTTCTGAAGCGTGACTCTATTATCATACATCAGGGAAAACTAATATACTTTATGTTTATTTCTTGGTAATACAAGAATGTTTAGATAAGAACATGTGGTTTAAAGGTGGTTTTAAAGAGCTGACCGGGGTTTACTATCAAATTAAGTGTTCATAAGATTGTTATTAAAGAAAAAAGGTCTTCTTCTGAGAAATTACTAGCAGGGTACTTTTCATAGGTAACTCTTCTTTCTTTTACCATCATTATTAGTTTCATGTACATGTGATCCTTCAATTTGGAACATTTTATGTACCAATCTACCTTTTTGCAGGACATTTTCCTAGACTTCTTAATATGTTGTCATTAAATTATGTGTTTTTATGCACAGTAAGCGTTTGATTAGATGCTTGGACCGATACACAAACTTCTAATGCAACCAGTTAGCCAAGAAGAATGGAGAATTGTTGTCGCTTTAATGAGTAGACATATGGTGGAGGTACTGAGCTATATCATACATTAATTTCCCAATACAGAGCCCGAAGTTGCTTTGGTGGGTATTTTGTTAATCAATTTACAAAATTTCTTCCATTTTGATGATCATTTTACTTTCTCTTTCTATTACATTCAATTTATAGCTTGGCCACAAGTATCACCTCTGTCACAGCCACAACAGCCACATTAGAAATAACAACCTCCATTGCAACCCCAACAACAAGAAGGACGGGTAGAACAAAATGTTGTTCGTGTTCAGTCTCCTAATTAGGTTAATAGTGATAATGGTGTAAAGGAGGTGGAAACAGAAACAAAAGCAAAAGCAGAAGCTGAGAATGCGGATGACTCGCCTACATTTTGGACAGCATGTCCTTACTGTTTCTACACGTATAAGTATCAAAGGGTATATCTGATTGATCAAATAAACAAATAGCTGATCAAATAACATTTACAAAGAACAAACAACGGAAAAAACTGTAGCATCCGACCCCCGCAACGCGGGGGTTCCCCATCTAGTTAACTATTAATCATTTTTGCAATTTTGTTAAAAATTAACTATTAAGATGTATTATAATCACCTTTATTTAGTTAACCTTAATGCCGAAGGGAATCGAGCATGTCATGCCATGCTATCATGTCATTTTCGAAACCACAAAATGTTTTCCAGATTTTTAAAAGGTTGCTTAACTTGGTAAAAAAATGAAAAAAAACACATAAAAGAAATAAACACACCTACATATACATTCTCTCTCTCTCTCTCTCTCTCTCTCTCTCTCTCCCTCTCTCATACACACTCACACACACATCGGCACTAACATGCCATTTGAGTTTGTCATTTTGTCATACCTTATTTAAATGGTGGTTTTGATATCGCAAGCAATTATCGAGCATCTTTGTCACTCACTCTGAAACGCCTAAATATAAGGATGCCAACTGGGGCAAACGAGACGGGGAATACATCAGGGAAAACTAATATACTTTATGTTTATTTCTTGGTAATACAGGAATGTTTAGATAAGAACATGTGGTTTAAAGGTGGTTTTAAAGAGCTGACCGGGGTTTACTATCAAATTAAGTGTTCATAAGATTGTTATTAAAGAAAAAAGGTCTTCTTCTGAGAAATTACTAGCAGGGTACTTTTCATAGGTAACTCTTCTTTCTTTTACCATCATTATTAGTTTCATGTACATGTGATCCTTCAATTTGGAACATTTTATGTACCAATCTACCTTTTTGCAGGACATTTTCCTAGACTTCTTAATATGTTGTCATTAAATTATGTGTTTTTATGCACAGTAAGCATTTGATTAGATGCTTGGACCGATACACAAACTTCTAATGCAACCAGTTAGCCAAGAAGAATGGAGAATTGTTGTCGCTTTAATGAGTAGACATATGGTGGAGGTACTGAGCTATATCATACATTAATTTCCCAATACAGAGCCCGAAGTTGCTTTGGTGGGTATTTTGTTAATCAATTTACAAAATTTCTTCCATTTTGATGATCATTTTACTTTCTCTTTCTATTACATTCAATTTATAGCTTGGCCACAAGTATCACCTCTGTCACAGCCACAACAGCCACATTAGAAATAACAACCTCCATTGCAACCCCAACAACAAGAAGGACGGGTAGAACAAAATGTTGTTCGTGTTCAGTCTCCTAATTAGGTTAATAGTGATAATGGTGTAAAGGAGGTGGAAACAGAAACAAAAGCAAAAGCAGAAGTTGAGAATGCGGATGACTCGCCTACATTTTGGACAACATGTCCTTACTGTTTCTACACGTATAAGTATCAAAGGGTATATCTGATTGATCAAATAAACAAATAGCTGATCAAATAACATTTACAAAGAACAAACAACGGAAAAAACTGTAGCATCCGACCCCTGCAACGCGGGGGTTCCCCATCTAGTTAACTATTAATCATTTTTGCAATTTTGTTAAAAATTAACTATTAAGATGTATTATAATCACCTTTATTTAGTTAACCTTAATGCCGAAGGGAATGGAGCATGTCATGCCATGCTATCATGTCATTTTCGAAACCACAAAATGTTTTCCAGATTTTTAAAAGGTTGCTTAACTTGGTAAAAAAATGAAAAAAAAAACACATAAAAGAAATAAACACACCTACATATACATTCTCTCTCTCTCTCTCTCTCTCTCTCCCTCTCCCTCTCTCATACACACTCACACACACATCGGCACTAACATGCCATTTGAGTTTGTCATTTTGTCATACCTTATTTAAATGGTGGTTTTGATATCGCAAGCAATTATCGAGCATCTTTGTCACTCACTCTGAAACGCCTAAATATAAGGATGCCAACTGGGGCAAACGAGACGGGGATTACATCCCCCCCCCCCCCCCCCCCCAAAAAAAAAAAAAAAAAAAAAAAAAAAATCTCGTTACTCCTCCCTCGATTGATTTTGGGGTATCTTATTTAGGTTTAAAGACATTCATGTGTGATAGTACAAGTAACTATTAATAAAATAATATTAAATTTTAACCACATTTTGAATTCAAATATTTATCATCAAATCTCCTTATATTTCTCAACAATTTGATATGGTTACCTCAAATCCCGGATTCATTCAAATTTTGAACCCTTTTAGATATCCTTAAATTTAGCATGTTGATTCAAATATCTCTCCAATCGCATATACCTCTTTGTTCCCTCCTCTGCTATAAAGCCCACCGTCCAGGAACAAAAAATGACTTCATCTCCCAAATAACACCATAGTTTGATTATTTTGTCTTCGACATGTACTTTCTTTTGTAAAATAACATTTTTGTAGAGGAAACATATCACCGAAAGAATTTACACGTCCGCCGCTTTGCGCGGGTACACTGCTAGTATATATATATATATATATATATATATATATGGGAAAAGTGAATATACTCTTAAGGGTATATAAGCTTAGGTACTCAAACTCACCATAATACGTCATTTTGTTTGATATATTTATTATAATGTTCTCCAACTTCAATATTTAACTTGATTTACTTTCAAGATTTTCAAGATTTCATTATTATTTTTTTTCTTACATCACATGTTTTTGACGAACATCAATTAGGTTATATATATTATAGTTGAAAATGAAAATTATGTAAGAGGAAAATAAATGTGAAATTTATAAACATCTTTGAATGAAATCAAGTTAGAAGTTGAATTATAAGAACATTAGACAATTACAATGTATATATATGATACAAAATGACGTAGTATAGTGATTTTGGGTACCTAAACTTATATACCCTTAACGGTATATTCACTTTTCTCATATATATATATATATATATATATATATATATATATATATATATATATATAGTCTAGAAAATTTTGGGCCCGTAGAGACGTGGGCCCTGGGCGGTCGCCCGGATTGCCCACCGTCTGGACGGGTCTTGTTAACGGGGTCCCCATAAAGGTTTCGGAACACGACTGCCAACCCCATCCTACCCCCGAAACTAAAACGGGGGTTAATCTTGCTCCGGTCTACATTTTTTCCAACAAATACCATGTATACGGAATGGAACCGTTACGATATCGAGGTTCCATGAGACTTCTACCTAAATATACTCCAATAGTTAATTATGAAGGTAGACAAATGGCAAGGAAACAATACGAGGAACAAAAGGTTGCCGCAATTTTGGTTGGTTTGTACTTTGTAGAGCAAAAGGCCAAATTAGATATCATCATATGCCCAACTAGAAACGAAACGGAACGTTATCTTCGTTCTTTTATTCTTTTAAGGTAAAATTTTATAGTAATAAAATTAAATATAGATAATTTCTTTTTATTAAATTTTTAAGAAACATACTTTAGCTCATCATAATTAAGGAATACCACATTAATCCGTAAAAATCATTTTTATTAACTAACAAACCGAAGATCTTGTAAAAAGAATTAAGTTAAAGTTATCTTATTTTGGCAATCGAGTAAAATACAATTCAAATATTTATATTATGATATTAAATAAAGATAATTAAACAAATAACTATGCGAATGACCACAAAATATTATAAATAAATATATTTTCAGTTTACCAAGTTGTAATATATATAAAATATTGTTAATAAATTTCTTACCGTCTAAACGACTTGTCGATAAAATGATAAAAATGTTCTTGGTGTGAAAAAGAGACGCCTAGATAAAGAGAGATGTGTAATTTCATTTCATTTTGATAATCTTTTTTCACTTCAGGAGTTCAGGTAGTATTTAAATCAAATAAACTATCATATAATAAAATATAATAAAAGTTTTATACTAATTTATTGAAATTAATATTGTTTTGATTTCGCAATCTGTATAGTAAAGTCTAGTATATATCTACATATGTTATACTTTTTCTTAAATTTCCAGCAAAATCTTTATCCTTGTACATATTTACAACCCCAAGGAGTAGTTATTATCACACATCAGAAAGGGAATCAGTCAACGAGATAATCGTTCCAGATGAGGCGATCGTTTGGGCCGGGAATGGGCAGCGGCGGAGGCGGAGGCAGAGGCGGTGGAGGGATGATCAAGACGGTTCACAGAACCGTCAGGGCTGGCCTCGGTGGTGGGGCGTCCCAAGAACCCTATTCACATTCCGCCACAACCACCACAAGAACCACCAATAACCGTACCCAACCCATAAACACCACCCTTTCTCTCTCATCCAACGCTAACCTCTCCTCGCCTTGCTCTTACCTCAACCACCATGTCCCGGCGCCGCCCAACTGGGTTTTCTCGTCGTCACCGATCACTGGTGACGAGTTCGACTGGGAATACATCCATGGCGACGGGAGTGACGACGGCGAGAGTTTAAATCGAGTGCTTCACGATGATTTTGTATTGGGCAGTGTTCCATCCAAAGACGAAGTTCATCATGCAGTCTCTTCTCTCCAGGAGTAAGTATTCAATTTCGTTTCATTATTCTTTTGGAATACAAAATTCATTCCTTTTGATTACAAAATGAAAATGACGAACATATGATTATTATCGTTGGTTAATTTATATGATGAAATCGTGTTCTATTTTGTGAACATCAGGGTTCTTGATCCGATTATCGAGAATAGAAGAACATATGGTACGTACGATGATGGAATCGAAAAGATTTCAGGTCCTACAGTTTTTCACAAATCTGGATCCGAGTTAGATTGGATTGAGCCATCTTTGCAACTACATGACTCAACAAGTGCGTTGCATGATCCTAGATCGACAAGAGTTTATGATGCTTTCCATATATTGCAAACTGATCCTTCAGTTCAGGTACGATATTGCTACATATATATCTGAAAATTTTATCCATTAATCCTTCGATTTTGTCAAAAAAAATGGTTCTTAATTTTATTTGGTGTAGAGAATGGTAATTTCGTTGTCATCTGACAAGGCTGTTTGGGACGCTGTCATGAACAACGAGGTAGTACGTGAGCTTCGTGAGTCAGTTAATGAAGGTTCGTGCAAACTAAAGTACATATGTTTTTTGCGATGTTATAGTAATTTCTAGATAATTTGACTGTGTGAACCA